CACTGGAGCTGGGTGGCAGTGAAAGCGGCTGCGAGGCCGAGAGCTTCCCAGCCCACAGAAACGGCGCCAGGCGAACGGCGCTTCCGAAATCCGGTCTTAATTTTTTTGTATCCTGGTTAGAACAGTTTTTGAAATATTTCTAGAGAATCTCCTGAATCTCACAGCAGGTTGGAGAATGACCAAGGGATCCCCAAAACCGTTGCTCTCCAAGTATTTCTGGGATGCAGACCGAACGGCGCTTCCGAAATCCGGTCTTAATTTTTTTGTATCCTGGTTAGAACAGTTTTTGAAATATTTCTAGAGAATCTCCTGAATCTCACAGCAGGTTGGAGAATGACCAAGGGATCCCCAAAACCGTTGCTCTCCAAGTATTTCTGGGATGCAGACCGAGTGCGAGGAAATGCCTCTGTGGCGAGTCCCTGCTGCCATCGGGTGGTAATTGGTCTCCACTGCATTTTACAGACCTTGCTGAATTCACATTTTCATTTACATGATAATTTACGCAGCGTCTATTTTGTTCATGTTCGCATCCTTTTCTTAGCACAGTTTCCAGAGCGAGCAAAACGCGATTCAGATCGGAGAACAAAGGGAAACGCACAATGCGGAGAGAAAGACGTCTTTCACGTTAATTAAGACTTTGCATCTTTTTTCTACTGAAATATTTTTAACCCGCTTCTGCCTTTTCGTCTCCTTTTTCTGTTCGTGCAGGTGCTCTTTCACGCGGCACTTTTCGGGGTAGAGACATTCCAGCTCTGACACTGCCTTCTCTACCAGAACGGTGGTTGTGGGCTGCAGCTTTTTGTAGACTTTGCTGCTTTCCGTTACAAGGTGTGCTGCATCGTGACGGGAACCGGCTTTCTAAAGCTGTTTGCTTTGAGCCTTCATGGCAAATTCATGTAAAACTATTTCTCTGCTTTTTAAAAAACATTTCAAGTGCTGCGATGGTTTTTGTCGCTGTGCTTTAATAGGATTTGCAGCTGTGAATGCGCTTTAATAGAATTTACAGCTGGGCTGAAGTATCCCCTCTCTTAAAATAACATTGCGGCTTCGTGATTTGGGAGAATGTGCCTCCCACTAGTTGCTTTGTCTGTAGTTGTGAATGCTCTGGAGCAAGAGGAGAATACGAGCGAACCCTAAACTTTTGTATGTGGCTAAATAGGAAGCATAATCCTGTGGTTAGGGACTGGAACTGTAAATGAGTGTATTTCTACCTTGTTTTTTGCTTTGCTGATGACTTGTTTTCTGCTCTCTCATGCAGTTTTTAACCTGCCGGGTTTTTGTCTCCGTTGGTAAAATGGGAATAGGAAAACCTCGGTGTGTTTTTAGATCGTTAGGTGATAGGTTTGGGGATCTTTACGTATTGTAAGGTGCTGGATTGGAAAGGCGGCAGGTGGGAAGTAGTGCAGGATGTGGTGTCACTGGAACCTAGCGAGAGTTGTGGGTCTTCTGTTTCTCAAACTGAAAAGCAGTTGGTGGCTGGGGAACCAACGGAAGAAGCGTGTTATCTTAAAAAGCTGCATAACAGATACTGCCTGCCTTCTGTGGCTCTGGGCCAGTAGTTTTCATAGCTGGTCCCAGGACATCAATCCAGAATATACAGAAAACAGTGGGATTCCACAAAGCGGTTTAAATCTTGCAGGTCGGGTTTGCCGGGAAGAAGTAGATGAGAGCCACCTCAGCGCATGCAGTTTGCTTGACAGGCAGATGCCCTCACTTGGGAGACCAGGAGCCCTGCCAAATTACTGGAAAATTACAGGTGGTGAGGGTGCAGTGGTGCGAGTGTCACGTCCTGGAGATGCTCTGTGGTCAATGGAAGGGGTGGGGGGAAGCCTGCGTCCCCAGGAAGGCACCTTAGCCTTGCTCTGATGGAGCTCGTGGGGTCGGTGCCATGGAGGCAGCCCCAAATAAAGCCGTTCTCGGCTTCCCAGGGGTGAACACAGGGCAGTGTGTTCACTGCCATGCTCTCTGGCAGTGCCTGGCCGGCTACAAGCCCGTGAGCAAACCACTTACATGGATGTTACACTCAGACTCCACGTTTTGATTCTGTCTCTATTCCAAAAAAAAAAAAAAAAAAAAAAAAGTTTAAATCCCCTTCAGCACATTGGAACTCGAATGTGTGTAGATGCTTGGCAGAGTCCTGGCTTGAGCTGCTGGTGTTTCTGCTGAGGCAGTCGCTGAGGAGGCCAATGAGCCTGTCTGCTTCTGGTATTTACGCTGACCGGGTAAGAAATGGGCTGAGAGTACATGTTACAACCTCTCGCCCTCTGCATCCTGGCCAAGGTTAAGAAGTCAGAGAAACTTTTTTTTTTTTAATAGGAACAATATCAAAGAGGTCTTCTGCATCATCTCCCAGATCCATGATCTCTTTCATAAGTGACTTTCTTGTTCTTAGAGATTTGCAGCCCTCTGAAGTGCCTGATAGTAAATAAAGGCGCATAATTTACAAACATGGCTGAAGCCAGAAATACTTTTCTCTATCTGTCCTCTCTGTTTATTAATTCAGGTTTCCAAAACCGGAGGGAGAATTTCCTTGGCATCAGTGACCTACTGAGGCAACTTTCGAGTTCAGAATGCAGCTGGAGAGCGGGCAAGACCCCCACCTCCGAGAGGTTGTGTGGTTTGCGGTGTGCTGCAGAGCCCTGACACTTCTGCTGCAGGCAAGTCTCCTGTTCCTGAACCAAAGATGCTGCAGCATCTGTTGTTTGCTGCTCCAAGGCTTCTGTCTTCAGTACTGCCTTGTGCACCGTGAGCTAGATGGTTCTGCTTGATTGGGAAATCATCTTCTTCTTTGGAGAACCAACAGAGCAGCTGCATCCAGGGAGGCAGGTTGCTGTTAAGTAAAATTACACAAATTTCCTTGTAACTTACTCTGTTTTCATGCCGCTGTTGCGAGAGGCTGCGTTGGCAGCATGAGAGGCTGAAGTCTGTTTATCCACAGAAGAGGAATGATAATCTCCTCCCGCACATCCCTCCCAGGTCTCATTTCCAGACACGTCCTCCTCTGAGCATGGGAGAGCTTGGTTGCTCACTCCATCCTACCTGTGCGTACCGAGACAGCCGGCAAAGAGTCCAGCTGTGACCGTAGCCCTCCTGAAACGGAATCGGCCTGAGAAAGCTCTTCAGCAGCAGGGCTACCAGCCAGCTGGCAGATTGTGGCAGCCCTGGTCACCACTGGGTAGGGCTGAGTGGAACCATCAGCTGAGTTGAAAGACTCCGTATTACAAATGCCAGAGGCCTGGTTAGACCAGATGTGTGCTTCATGGTTAAACGGCGGCTTTATATGTCTTTTAGTCCCAATTTGTTCAGTGTGGCCTCTTTCTCTGCCAACGCTGAATTTATTGCAGGGGACTCATCCCAATCTACATGTAGTTAAGCTACAAAACTTACCAGCTGAGGTTTTTTGGGGTTTTTGGTTTGTTTAAACATATTTTCATTTGGAATTATATTACAACATGTTAAGTTATATACCTCCTCATGAGCTTTCTGGGTTTTTCTCTCGCCTTTTAAAATGTGGTCAGCACCACAAGCTCCTGGAGGCAGAGGTCTGTGTGTTCTGCTTGCTCATCTCCAGAAAGCAAACCCCTTTGTGCACGCTGAGCTGCAGAGGTGATGGGGTGATCTAGAGACTGGGGGGGCTGGGAATTGCCTGCTGTCTTTTGCATCAGTTTGCTCTGGGAAAATGTTTTTCTCTAGTTCTGTCTCCTCTCCCTTGTACATCAGCTGGGATAATAATGCCAAATTCAGTAGAACAGGAGGCTTACCAGCGCTGCAGAGGTACCCGGTGCGAGCGTACACAGTTAGATGTGCCTGAGCATGGGGCTGAGCAGCTTTCCCTGTCCAGTTCCGTGAGGATTCATGCTGGATACATTCTAGAACTTTATTCAGTTCAAAAGATCGCGTGTTTGCAGCTTTTCACAGTCTTAGGGGTGTCCTTGCTGTAAAGCCCCTCAGCCTGGCTTCTGTGCTCCTCCTGTCCCCTTTGAACCCAGGAGTCCTCCTCCTGCTTGGTGCTTTCAGTAGGGTACAAGAGGATCTCTGCTGGACTTCAATCCTCTCTTCTTTTTCCAGGCTCTGTTTAACCTCCTGATCCCAGATCACGCTGCAGACGCCTTCTCTCCCCCTCGCCTGTCCGAGCCTGGCCTGTGGGACCTGCTCTTGGAGCGGCTGCTGGGAGGCCTCTCGCACTGGGATGCAGAGCACTTCCTCTTCATCGCCGAGCGTGGTTACCTGTACGAGCACAACTGCGCCTTCCTCCCGCTGTACCCCCTGAGCGTGCGTGCCGTGGCCGAGGGTGCTCTGTGGCCCTTGCAGCGGCTGCTGCGTTTGCGGAGCCGCCTCCTGCTATCGGCCGTACTTCTTAATTCTCTCTTTTCTGCCCTGGCAGCCGCTGCCCTGTATAAGCTGGGCTGCGTTGTGCTGCAGTGTCGCAGGGTGGCTTTCCTTGCTGCCGTTCTCTTTTCTGTCAGCCCTGCCAACGTATTTATGGCAGCTGCTTACTCAGAGAGCATGTTTGCCTTCCTGGCGTTCAGTGCCATGTGGCAACTGGAGAAGGGGCAGGGCTGGCTCAGTGGACTGCTCTTCTCCCTTGCTTCTGGGGTGCGCGCCAACGGGCTTATTAATGCTGGCTTCTTTCTCTACTCCCGCAGTAAATGCTTTGCCCTCCAGCTCCAGGTGGGTTCAGGATCGGTAAGGAAGCTCCCTCCATTGTGGAAGCAACTCCTTAGCGTGGCATCTTCAGTGGTTCTGATGTGTGCCGGGATTTTTCTACCTTTTGTTTTATTTCAGTATTATGCCTATGTGAGGTTCTGCGGCCCTGGCACCGACCTGGAGCAGGCTGTTCCCAAGCCACTGCTGCAGCTGGCTCTGGACAAGGGCTATCGTCTGGCAGCCATGAACGGGGCTAGCCCCGCTTGGTGCTCCCAGCGATTCCCTGTGGTCTATTCTTATATTCAAGATGCTTACTGGAATGTGGGCTTCCTAAGGTATTTTGAGCTCAGGCAGATACCAAATTTTGTGCTTGCTTTGCCTGTCACACTTCTGGGCTCGTGGGCTGCCTGGACCTACATCATTGCAAACCCCCGGCACTGCCTAACTCTTGGTCTAGAGAGAGGAAAGAGCGAAGAAGAGGATAAACCAAGAGCTGGATTTTGCTGCCCCTCTGTCTTCGTGTATGTGGTCCATGCCACAGTCCTGCTGGTGTTTGGATTTTTCTGCATGCACGTGCAGGTAGGATGTTCATGGCAACATACAGGAGTTTTTAAGGGGAATGCAGCGTGGCAGCTGAGGCAGTGACAGTCACAGCCTGAAGCTGCTTCAGCTGCAGGGCAGCATGGGGCAATGCTGTTTTGCCTTTCCTCTTTTGGAGCTACTTCCACAGAGAGTTTCCAAAGCCAGTTAGTTCCTCTGCTCTGCTGGAGAGTTCCCAAAGAGAGCTTGCCAGGTGCTCAGTGTGACAAGGACACTGGGACGGGGATCAAAGGGTCCGGCTGGTGTTGGGTGGCGTTTGACATGTGCCAAGCCCTGCTAATCGGCTGTCGGAGGACAAGGATACCGGGTCGTTATCGTGTTGGGCCGAGCTTAATGGATGGCAATGAAAGGATCCAGAGCCTGTCGCCAGTCTCTAGCAAGTATTTGAGGTCTTTTTAGGACATAGTTAGTGGCACTAAAGTGAAAAAAGTCACTGAAGAGTGACTTTCAAATCCTGAGCTGGATGGTGACAAAGATTTCAGTGAGATGGTGACGACTGGGTACTGTGCTTGTCCAAAACCTGGGGACCACTTGACTGCTTACACAGATGTCTTAATAAATAAAGCAGGTTTAAGCTGAGAGGTGTTTCATGTCAATGTAATAAATCCTAGCACCATGAAGTGGGGCCATATTTCAGTCCCCTTTATCAGCAGCCTGGTTTGAGGCAGGTAGATGGCTCCTTCCATGCCTCAGGAGCAGGGTTGGTCACAGTTGAAGACCTGCAGTTTATGTGATTTTTTTGCTCTGCCTGTCATCTTCAGGTGCTGACCCGGTTCCTTGGCTCCTCCTCTCCCGTCCTGTACTGGTTCTCTGCTCACCTGCTTCAAGAATCTGAACCTTTGCTCTGGAGCGAAGGGACTGATAACCAAACCGTGGCACCTCACTCCGAGGAGTCTCTTTTCGGTAAATCTCCTGGTTCCTGTGGGAAAGGGACTTCTGGGAACCCCGTCGTGAGGCTGCTGCTCAACTGTAGATTCATTACCCCCCTCAGCAGATGCATTCTTGGATTTTTCCTGTCCTACTGGCTGTTGGGACTGATTCTGCACTGTAACTTCTTGCCATGGACATAGCGAGGGGTGTATTGGTCCAGATGGGTCGCAGGGCAGGAGCACTGGTCAGAATTGAAACGTACTTTTGCTAAAAACCCTGAGGTATATGCAAGGATGCTGTTGTCTTGGTTACAAAGGCGTTACTCCTCCGTTACTGCGTATGTACAGAGCTGCCACCATGTCCAAAATGGGCCTGTTCTCCTTGCAGCGTCCTGCCCCTCTCCCCGCTGTCGTTACCGACGGCCGAAATGCCCGGGAGCCCCCGGGGACGGGGAACGCGTCGCGGCCCCTGCGTCTGCTGGGGAAGCGCCGTCGCCGAGCGGCTATGGCGGGGGTCCGCGTCTGTCCGCTCTCGCCCGGCAGGAAACCTCTGGGCATCGTC